CGTGCTGCATAAGACGGTGGTCGTCATCCTGGAAGGAATGTACGAGCCGACCGTGAACTAGACACGTCGGCGCTAAGGGGCCGATCGTGCTGCATAAGACGGTCATCGCCATCCTGGAGGGGATGGGCGAGCCGAACCGTGAGCTAGACACGTCGACACTGAGGGGCCGATCGTTCTGCAAAAGATGGTCATCCTCATCTGCTCGTTGTACCTAGCTCATTCTCTCTCTCTCTCTCTCTCTCTCTCTCTCTCTCTCTGGGTCTTCGAGGGTGGGGATGCTCGTCTCCAGGCCCTCAGCCTCTGGAGTTGAAATGCTCGTCTCCAGGCCCTCGGGTCCTCTGGAATGGAAATGCTCATCTACGGGCCCTTGGGTCCTCTGGAATGGAAATGCTCGTCTCCAGGCCCTCAGCCTCTGGAGTGGAAATGCTCGTCTACAGGCCCTCGGCCTCTGGAGTGGAAATGCTCGTCCCCAGGCCCTCGGCCTCTGGAGTGGAAATGCTCGTGATAGACTATAAGTCTAGAGAGAAGTGAGAGCTAGAGAGAGAAGTGGTATAATTTCTCTGTATTAATGATTTTTGTGAACCCCTACAAATCTTCCTAGAGGGAGTATTTATAGGAAAAATTAGGGCTGGGCTCCCAAGTCTTGGGCTTGGGAGGCCCATTTACAATAGGGCCACTAATGGGCTGGATACAAAGTGCATAGAAAAGATTAAGTGTAAATCCTGTTCTGGAGGCTGTCTATGGCCGACGGGGGCATGGCCGACGAGGGCATGGCCGACGAGGGCATGGCTGACGAAGACACGGCCGACGAGGTCACCCGGCTCTTCCTGGCTTCTGGATCACATTCTGAGTAGACTTCTTTCTGGCCGATGGGGGTCATCTGGCCGATGAGGGTCCCACCAGGTGTTCATGGTACCCTCTGTTCTTCCGAGTATGTGGGCCCTGGGGTCCTGGCCCATATACTCCATCAACTCGTCTCCAGGCCCTCGGCCTCTGGAGTGGAAATGCTCGTCTCCAGGCCCTCGGGTCCTCTGGAATGGAAATGCTCGTCTCTAGGCCCTTAGGACCTCTGGAATGGAAATGCTCGTCTCCAGGCCCTCGGGTCCTCTGGAATGGAAATGCTCATCTCTAGGGCCTCGGGTCCTCTGGAATGGAAATGCTCGTCTCCAGGCCCTAGGGTCCTCTGGATCAACCTTAGGGGTAAAGATGTTCCCCAACCCATATATAATATTATTTTTAATTTTTTTTTTAATTTTTTTTTTGGGCTTAGCTTTGTTCCATCATCCGCTCGTCTTCCCTGCCCATTTGGCCCGATCCTTAGGATCCTGAGCTAGGTTCAGCCGCGATTGTGATGCAGAACGGGTTTATCCCCTTTGGGGATTCCCCGTTTCGTCGTTCCGTCATCCGCTCGTCTTACCTTCCCATTTGGCCCGGTCCTTAGGATCCTGAGCTGGGTTCGGCCGCGATTGTGATGCAGAACAGGTTTATCCCCTTTGAGGATTCCCTGTTTCTTCGTTCTGTCATCCGCTCGTCTTACCTGCCCATTTGGCCTGGTCCTTTTGATCCTGGGCCGGGCTCGGCCGCGATTGTGATGCGGAACGGGTTTATCTCCTTTGGAGATTCCCCGTTGCTCCTCTATTTTTTTTTGAGGAGTCTTAGCTTTGTTCCATCATCCGCTCGTCTTACCTACCCATTTGGCCCGGTCCTTTGGATCCTGGGCTGGGCTCAGCCGCGATTGTGATGCGGAATGGGTTTATCTCCTTTGGAGATTCCCCATTTCTTCGTCTCTTCATCCGTTCGCTTAACTGCCCATTTGGCCCGGTCCTTTGGATCCTGAGCTGGGCTCGGCCGCGATTGTGATAAGGAACGGGTTTATCCCCTTTGGGGATTCCCCAGTGCCCCTCTAATTTTTTTTGAGGGGTCTTTGAATATGGTGATGGCAGCGTACCTGGAGGTCGGTGGCCATGTGAAGATGTCGCCACTAGGGGTCAATCTGAAATAACCAACGGTCCTCCTCCATGAGGAGCGAGGACGAGGCCGATCTTTAAATATGATGATGGCACCGTACCAGGGGGTCGTTGGCCATGAAATGATGTCGGCGCTGGGGGCCGATTTGAAATAATCAACGGTCCTCATCCGCGAGGAGCGGGGACGAGGCCGGGCTTCAAATATGATGATGGCACCGTACCAGGGGTTCGGTGGCCATGTAGTGATGTCGGCGCTGGGAGCCGATCTGAAATAAGAACCGGTCCTCATCTGCGAGGAGCGGGGATGACGCCGGTCTTCAAATATGATGATGGCACCGTACCAGGGGGTCGGTGGCCATGTAATGATGTCAGCGCTGGGAGCCGATCTAAAATAATCAACGGTCCTCATCCGCGAGGAGCGGGGACGAGTCCGGTCTTCAAATATGATGATGGCACCGTACCAAGGGGTCGGTGGCCATCTAGTGATGTCGGCGCTGGGAGCAGATCTGAAATAAGCAACGGTCCTCATCCGTGAGGAGCGGGGACGAGGCCGGTCTTCAAATATGATGATGGCACCGTACCATGGGGTCGGTGGCCATGTAGTAATGTCGGCGCTGGGAGCCGATCTGAAATAAGCAACGGTCCTCATTCGCGAGGAGCGGGGACGAGGCCGGTCTTCAAACATGATGATGGCAACGTACCAGGGGGTCGGTGGCCATGTAATGATGTCGGCGCTGGGAGCCGATCTGAAATAATCAACGGTCCTCATCCGCGAGGAGCGGGGACGAGGCCGGTCTTCAACTATGATGATGGCACTGTACCAGAGGGTCGGTGGCTATGTAGTGATGTCGGCGCTGGGAGCCAATCTTAAATAAGCAACGGTCCTCATCCGCGAGGAGCGGGGACGAGGCCGGTCTTCAAATATGATGATGGCACGGTACCAGGAGGGTCGGTGGCCATGTAGTGATGTCGACGCTGGGAGCCGATCTGAAATAAGCAATGGTCCTCATCCGCGAGGAGGGGGGACGAGGTCGGTCTTCACATATGATGATGGCACCGTACCAGGGGGTCGGTGGCCATGTAATGATTTCGGCACTAGGAGCCGATCTGAAATAATCAACGGTCCTCATCCGCGAGGAGCGGGGATGAGGCCGGTTTTCAAATATGATGATGGCATCGTACCACGGGGTCGGTGGCCATGAAATGATGTCGGCGCTGGGGCCGATCTGAAAGAATAAATCAACGGTCCTCATCCGCGAGGAGCGGGGACAAGGCCGCCCTTCGAATATGATGATGGCACTGTACCAGGGGGTCGGTGGCCATGAAATGATGTCGACACTGGGGGCCGATCTGAAATAACCAACAGTCCTCGTCCGCGAGGAGCGGAGACAAGACCGGTCTTCAAATATGGTAATGGCACCGTACCAGGGGGTCGGTGGCCATGAAAGGATGTCGGCACTGGGGGCCGATCTGAAATAATCAATCTTCGTTCCTCCATCCGTTCGCTTACCTGCCGATTTGGCCCGGTCCTTTGGATCCTGAGCTGGGCTCGGCCACGATTGTGATGGGAAACGGGTTTATCTCTTTTGGAGATTCCCCGGTGCCCCTTTAATTAATTTCTTTTTTTGAGGGGTCTTTGAATATGATGATGTATGCCGAGCCGAGAGGCCGTTCGTGATATACGTGTGTCGGTCATGAGGGGCCGATCAAGTGTTTCCATGCAACGGCTCTCATCCGCGCGGCGCAGGGATGATACCGGTCTTCAAGGTGTAAACACGTCGTTCCGTGTGGTCGGTCGTGATGTAAGGATGGTCTCACTGCCCTCGGCCACGATGGTCTCCTCTGGGCCATCGGCTCCTGGTGTGGAGATGTTCGTCTCACAGTTATTGCCCGCGACGGTCTCCTCCTGGCCGTCGGCCTCTTGGGGAAGTACAAACATCTTGCGGCCCCTTTCTTTAGCCGGTTTGGAACGTCTTCTGAACCCATGCCGAACGTCTTTTACTTTTCTACTCGGGCGCATTGAACAACCTTGGCTGCATAACTAACATGGTAATGGGCCGTTCGGCCCGACAATATATATACACATATGGCCATCTACGTGGCTTTATTCTTTTTCCAACGCTCGCGATTACCAGCCTATGGGTTATTGTGACCCTCGGCCCGGCTCATCGTGCGGGGTTACGGCCGTCCGGGGCGGGGCCACTTAGTGGCTTACCGAACGTCGCATAGAAAAATTACTGCTCCGTGAGTTTTGAAAACTCAGACCCACGTTGCCGCTCTGCTCTCGAAAAAATGAGGTTGAGCATCCTTGGTGCCCTCGGGCCCTATAGACCGCGTTTGGCAGCAAACACTTTGTGCTTAATGGCGCAGTTGGTATTGGGGCACGATCGTCGATCAGGCACTTGGTGCCGTGCAGACTAATGCGTAACCCCTAAATTAAAATGCGTCGTCGGGGCAATGCCCTCTGGAGACGCTCGGATTGCTAAATCAAGCCGATCGAGGGTGGGCCAACGGGCCCACCATAAGTTAAATATTTAATAAAACATTGGCTTGACTGACCATCACTAGAGCTTCGCTCCACATTATTTAATTCGGGACATTTTTTATCCCTAATAAATAATAGTGATGTAACAGGTACTAGCATTGATATTATCCTACCACAAGTTATCCAGATACGCTCCGATCGCTAATTAAAGCCGATCAGGAGTGGGCCGACGGGCCTACAACACCAGTCATCTAATTTAGATGACGGTGCAGTAATTATCAATAGAGCTTTGCTCGGTTGTTATTTAGTTTGGGATATTTTAATCCCTATTAAAATAATGGCGATAACAAATAATAGCAATAATACTATCCTAAATTATTTAAAATGTAGGAACGGTGTTACTTAGCTTTGGAGTAGCTGTTCGGCCATATGAGACATCTGAAGTTTGACTTGGTTTCTTTTTGGCAATTTTGACTTGGTCAAAATTCTCCACATCCTTCTCCAGAATCAAGGACTTCAATTATTCATCCACTCCCAAGTTGAAGTACGGTTCCAAGCCCGAAAGAGCCTCAGCCTAGGCTTGCGTTGGAATTCCCCAACTTTGACTTGGTCAAAATTATCCAAGGAAGTTGGCCTTTCCTTATTTGACCTCCCCTGTGGACGTGGTCTGCTCTTGACCATAGCAACCATGTACAGATGTGGCCTCACTCCTGCAGACGCTCGGGGATTTGGTTTCGGACGAGCGGCGAGTGCATGACTGAGCAACTAATTTCCCTTCCTCTTGCAACTCATCAGCCTTCGCCTCTGCAGGCTTCCACCTACGCTTAACAGGGTAGCAAACCGCTGCTATAGGTTCCAGGGAGCCTCATCTTGTCTCTAAAGGGAGCAACACGTTGGACCTTTAATAATGATGGCTACGATGAGGATTCCTTAGGCAGCATCTGCGGTGGAGCTAAAAGATCAGCAATGAGGTCGCCAGGACTCCGGCAGCACCGGAGAAGCTTCCTCAGGCCCAGGGGTGCACTAGTTCACGATTTGCCATCCATGTAGCTTTTGGCAGCCATTAATGGCGGACCTTCTCCTGGGTGCAGTGAAGCTAAGGGAGAAGAGAGGCTGGCAAGGGCGCTACGGCGAGGAGGCCGGTTCTAACCGCCGGATATACTCCGACGGAGTTGAGATACGCGACGCAGGTGGACGGAGGCGGACCTCGTCCACTGGTGCGGCAAGATTCTGAAAAGGGAAAAAGTGGGTTTCAACGGGCAGTGGTCTCCAGCTGATGTTGCACGTTGCAGCGCAGACGGTTCCAGGGATTCCTGGCGGCTCCAGCAGCTTCACTCTAGATGTGGGAACTCCCAGATCCCACCTTTCCCAGATTCTTCCTACTCTCTGTCTTGCTCCGAAACCCAGATCTTCCAGAATCCATTTTTTTGTTGTTTTCACTGAAAATCAGTCCATTTTGTATGAATTTTTTGTAGAACATCAAGAACACATGAATCTTTTTGAACTGATTCCCACAGACGGCGCCAGTGTTGAGTTTAATTTGCCGCAGCCCGGAAGTTCAACACCCCTTCCGGGAGGGTTTCATGGCTACAGGGTGATAATAAAATATAAACAGTGATTTTTACGTGGAAACCTGGAAAGGGAGAAAACCACGGGACTGGTTAGGCTAATGTCCAAACCCTCTCTTTCTCATTAAGACTCTCCTCACCATTACATTGTACAAGCTCCCATTAATGGAGTATTGAAGCTAGCTCTAAAGGCGGGGGGGGGGGGGGGAGAACAAGCTAAAAGGGGGATCCTTTATTAGGATGGAGGTCCTCCTATTTATAGATGGAAGGGGGAAGGGGAGCTCTCCACCCCAACGGGCCGAGTGGGCCTAAACAGCCTCTTGGGCCTAGGCGGGCCGAATGGGCAGAAATGGGCCCAAAGGCCGAAACAGGCCTGACAGACTAAAATGGGCCTTACTGATAGGGTTCCGTACTACGTAAAGTCTTGGGCCCCTGAACAGTAATAGGCCAGGATGATATATCCCAACACCTTCCTATAAGTATTATCAGGTTTTCCTCCAGCTCAGACCACGCACAAACAACACACAACCAAGCATCACCTGAAGGGACAGTCACACTCAGGCCAGCCCAGCCATCTCAACGCTAAGGGACCGAAGGAGAAGAGACTCAAAGTCTCTCTCACTATCCTCTCAACCTCACACTCTCTCTAACCGAAGACCTCAAAGTCTCAAAGAGGACTAAAGGGGGCTTAGGTACCGAGGGCCACAGGGGGAACCCTAATAGAGGGTTCCAGAACAGGGCTAGCGAGAAACAACATGGGCCGGGGCTAAGGGTCAAGCGTACAGGCCCAACACAGTAGGAGAGGGTTTCCAAGGCTTTATGGGCCAATGCATCCACACTCTCCACCTTGGCCATTATTGGTAGTGCAAGGTATCACAAAGTAACATGAGCATGTGGTTCATCATCGTTGGGTCACCAGTGATATCCTAAGGACATAATTGGCAAACAAATGGGAGATACACAAAATACTCCCAAAATTAAAGAAAATTGGAGAAGCACACAAGGTACTCTACCAAACCGTGAGAACATATTCCCTCAAGCACTTGGCTTTCGAGAAGCTGCACTTCATTCCCATATCTGTTGGGTTAAACTCTGAGGGTATCTTGCACAACTTCACCTTACCTGCATCTAAAACATCACGAATAAAGTGGAACCTCACATCAATGTGTTTAATCCTATCATGAAAGACAGGGTTTTTGCAAAGCTGGATAGCAGACTGGCTATCATAAAACACAGTGACATCCTGTTTAAGAAAACCTATATTTCAGAGATAAGACGTCTCAACCAGATGGCTTCCTTGAAAGCTGTTGTAGCTGCAACATACTCAACTTCAGTGGTTGATAAAGCAACAATAGGTTGTAACTGAGATTTCCAACTAACACAAGAACCACACAAAGTGAACACATAGGAAGTAGTAGATTTCCTATTGTCTCTATCATTAACATAGTTAGAATCAACATAGGCACTCAGTTTTACACCTTCAGCACACTTAGAAAAAATCAAACCATGATTTGCAGAAAATTTCAAGTATCTCAAAAGCCATTTCAAAGCATTCCAATGAGGCATACCAGGATTGGACATAAATCTACTCAAGCAACTCACAACATAGGCAATATCTGGTCTAGAACTAACCATCATATACATCACAGAACCTATAGCATTAGAGTAAGGAACAGACTTCATAAGGTCAATTTCAGAAGCAGTCTTAGGGGACTGATTCTTACTTAGCACAAAATGAGAGGCAAGAGGAACATGCACAGATGCAGCAGAAGACATATTAAACTTACTCAAAACCTTCTCAACATATGAAATCTGATTTAGAACAAGAGTATGCTTACTCCTGTGCCTAACAATGTTAATCCCAAGTATACTCTTGGCATCACCAAAATCTTTCATAGCAAAATTATCGCAAAGGCATTTTTGAACAAATTTAATAGATTTAAGACAAGGGCTTATAATCAACATGTCATCCACATAGATTAACAAGAACACATGAACAGAGTTAGTATCCTTGAAATAAAGACAATGATCACAGGCAGATTTCACAAATTTCATAGACTGCATACACTTATCAAACCTAATATTTCACTTCCTAGGGGATTGCTTCAGGCCATACAAGGCCTTCCTAAGCAGATAAACATGTTCACTCCTCTTGGGATCCACAAAGTTCTCAGGTTGAGTCATGTAATTTTTTTTTTCCAATTCACCATGCAAAAATGCAGTGGTAACATCCATTTGTTTCATCTCCTAGTCATAGTGAGCAACCAAATTAAAGCCAACATGATTCTAATAGTAGTAAACTTAACTTCAAGAGCAAAGATTTCTGCATAATCTACCCCCTCTTTTTGAGTAAACCCTTTGGATACAAGCCTAGCCTTATACCTAATGTTGTTACCAGGTTCTTCCTTGACCTTAAACAACCACTTGCACTCAACTACAGAGCTGCCATCAGGTCTAGGAACAAGGGTCCAAGTCTGGTTCACTCTCAAAGAGTTTATCTCACTTTTCATGGCCTCGAGCCATTTCTGAGACTCTCTAGACCTTAGAGCTTCACTATAGGTCTTAGGTTCATTTAGGTCTAGGGCCTCAAACACAGTAAAAGCAAAATCAGATACTCCCTCTGTCCCTTACAACTTTGCCAACTTTCCTTTTTTGGATGTCCCACTAACTTGGTCACTTTCCCTTTTAAGTAAAGAATTTGTGGTTCCAGTTAATTCTCTCTCCTCTGCACAAATGATAATCGCTTTCACGGCGTTGTAGTAAAACGGAGTCTAACCTTTCGGTTTTTCCCCGAGTATCGTGTCTCTTGAGGAATGACGGAGGAGTTTCTTGATTTTAAGCTCAGTCACAGGTTATCGCAAATTATTGGAAGCTTTCCAAATTAAAACTTTTGATTGATTTTCTAAACTAGTTTTTGAAAAATAAAGTAATTAAATTATGCAAATATTAATGATGGCTCAAAAATAAACTAAATGAAAAATATTAAACTCTAAATAGATTGATCAAAGAAGGGCAATGAATTGAATAATTAGAAATGGATATATTCTTGGACCTAGTAATTAGGGGAATTAAAACAACAATTGGACTAATAATTTCTTTTCTCATAGACAAGAATCGAAATTACTTTCATTAATTTATCATATTTCTAGGTTTTATCAATGTATTCAAAAATGGTTGGCTTGAATTAAATTCTAATCTCACAGACAAGACAGAAATAATTCTCCAATATTTTGTTCAATAAAAATTGCCAAATTCATCATTAACTAATTAAATTCATTAATTAAGCAATTTGAATTTAATTCTCATAGACAAGATGTAAATCCATTTCATTAAAATTTCCTATTTCTAGGCCTTATTAACGTGCTTAAATATGGTTGGCTCAAATTATTTTCAAATCCCATAAACAAGTTAGAAATAATTTTCCAAAAGTTAATTAATGAAAATGGCTAACAATTATTAATTACTAATTCATCAATTTGAATAACTAGCCCAATTATTTAATTTTAACCCCTAATTTTTGGCTAACAAGTCAATCCATATTCTTTTACTCAATTCATGCCCAAAACATTTTTAGCTACTAAACATTATTTTTGCATTCAACAATATGGTAAATAAATTAACCATTAACAAGGAATTAAACATGTATAATAGGAAAAATTAATCGAAAATAAGATCTTGTCAAAATAAACTTTCTGAAACTACAATATGACTTTTTGGAATTTTTTACGAATTTTTAAACCTAAAATCCAATTTTAACCCTAATTGATAATTTTTCCACTTTTAACTATAAAATACAAAAGGCAATTAAAAATAGGCTAAATTCGTTCTAAATTTTCTATTGACTACTGTCGGTGAAATTACAGTGAAATAAACTGGAATTAGGGCCGAAACTAATTTTTTACTCTTTTTAAGTAATTAATTTAATTTATGCAATAATAACAACTAATTACTGAAATTAATTAAAAATTACTTCTGTTTCGGGAAAATTAACTTTCTTCAGATAAATAATAACCTTGAGGCTAGTAAACAACTATATAGTTAATTGGAATGAATTCAACATCAACAACTATTTTATTTAATTTTTGGAAGAAAATGTGAAATACTTGATAAATATTCTGAAAACCTTCAAAGAACAGATCGAGAATACAAAGCACAGATTCAGACTCTACTCGTTGAGAAGATGAAAATACACAAAAAGAACTTACAAATTGGAGCTAAAATGAAAATGATATAAAAGATTGAAGTTGAAGGTGCAACAATGGTGGAAATCCGAGCTTTGAAGAGGAAGAAGAAGACCTTTTTGAACTAGTTTCGGGCTAAGAATGGTGTGCTTGGGATGAGGAAAAATCGGGCTATTTATAGCAGCAAAAATATCTTAGGTGGCCAACCAGGCGACCGCCTGCCACCTTGCTCTGGCCGCCTTCCGTCCCATCACCGGCAGTCGAACGTGCCGCACGTCACTTCGCCGCAGGCAGCCACGGAAGGCGGCCGCCTGCCGTTTCTGTCTGGCCGCCTGTTGTCTTTTCGCACCGACGGTCGTTGGCTTTGTCGTCTTTTCCCGTAGGCGGCCGCGAAGGCCTCCATTTTTGGCCGCCTATTTGGCCGCCTATGAGGTTGTTTGACCGTCTTGTTCTGTATTTTGTGCTCTTCAACTTTCCCTTCTGGACCACTTTGAAATTCTGCTTCATTCTTTCGGTATGATATCATTTTTCACTCAAATTGACTCATTGTGTGCTTAATTAACCCGGAATTTCGTCAAAGATATCATGGACGTGGTTTTTACCTGATTTCACGAAACTTGAACCAAAATATATAAAACATGCCTTGTTTTTCTATTTTCAATCCAAAATCGCTTAACTTTGATAAGAAAAGTAAGTACAAAAATGGACTTATCAATCTCCTCACACTTAAGTGTTGCTTGTCCTCAAGCGACAAAGCAGTTGCAAACACACTAAAAAGGTAAAACCTTATTGTATTACAATCGAGTTGCTATTAAAGAACTATAAACAAAA